TTTTCAACACTACTAGCGGATTGGTTCTGCCAGCAGCCCAGTCAATCCCTACACGGTTCGTTCATTAGTTCCAACAAAAGCTTTCATGAAACTTTATACTATTCGCAGTAGTATGCCTTCGCTTCCTAAAGTAGTGCGATAATTTGTTTTTCCATCTACGTAGCTGGCAACTTTTTCAGTCCCTTTGACTAATGATGCGTTGCTTGGTTAGCCTGCTGTCGATTTGTTCGTTAAAATGATGCGTTTGTAGTTGTCAACAAATTAAAAAGTTTTGAACAAATTATGAACTGGAGCGTCTTTCAAATTACAGTTTTAAATATTTTTAAATGAATGCAACTTTCTTTCAGCAATTTGCTATTATTACTGAATTTCTTGTCAACGGGTCGCTGTTCTCGCTGCTGCACGAGCAGAAACTGTAATTTTTTTTTTCTTAAAGGTAGAACCTTCTTTAGAACTTATTTGCATAAAAATATCGTAAGTTGGTATTGGCACATTGTAAAGTGGCATGTTCTCTTCATCTTGCTTCTCAAGCAATCCTTGCAGCGAGAGCGAGAGCAAAGAGATGCACTGAGATAAATCCAGAGCTGATCGATGGATCAGCTAATGTGGGAAAGGGTTTGACTGCTTGCTTGGTTTCTTGATAAGTTTTTGTTCTATAATTTATTTTCTTCTGTCTGTTTCTCACATATTTTGTTTTAGGACAAAACCCACACGTACCAAGACAAAACCCAAAACAACCGCAAAGCCTTTATCTCATATTATATACATATAATTGAAATTATATAACTAATTGCATACTTAAGATTTTTTGCTCCCTTCTTTATCATTTCAGTTTATATCTTACTTTTGTTTATTTAATTATTTGCTTCATTATGTATGCGAGAAAATGTGCTAGATCAAGTAATTTTGACAAATAGTGTGCTCGAGATGGCACTACGTTTGAACATTGGTATTGACGTGGCACGTGGTATGCGTTATTTGCACGAGCTCGCTGCACGCCCAGTAATCCATCGCGATCTTAATTCGCATAATATCCTGTTGCATGAAGATGGCCATGCGGTTGTGGCAGATTTCGGTGAATCACGTTTTATGGCACAACACGATGATGAAAATATGACAAAGCAACCGGGAGTATGATTTTAAATATCTTTTTTTCTTGGCAGCGGAGACAGCGTTGGAGAAAGTGATGCTTAGCGCGTTTTTCGGCGACCATCAAACTTTCCGTCAGGCGAGTAACGTGAAGGATATCACTGCAGCCACACGGGGAATTAAAATCAGATAGACAGAGCATTTTGCTCCTCTTGCTGAGAACTGCGGACTTCGCGAATTAGTGAATGGTACCCACGAGAAAGCAGGCGACTATTCGGGTGACCTTTAAAGAGGTGGCATACGTACATCGAACAAGTGGTGGGCGCTAACTGAAGAAATAGGAAAGCCTGGCATAGTATTCGTTGAGCTCTTAAAATTCGAAACGTTTATGAGGTGAGATGCATGAAATACTCTAAAATCACCTTGCTTTGGTGCCAGAATGATTGTGTGAAAAAAATTAGACAAAATTTTCCAGAAGTTTTGCTGTTGTTTCCCAATCTTTGTCTAGAATCTGCGATGGATGGCGCCGGAAATCTTCACTCAATGCGGACGATATGACCGTAAAGCTGACGTGTTTAGTTTTGCGCTATGTATTTGGGAGCTTCACGCCGCGGAATTACCGTTCGCTCATTTGAAACCAGCAGCCGCAGCTGCCGAAATGGCCTATAAAAGAGGTGATCAATAATATACCGTAGTTGAGCAAAATATTTCCTATACAAATATTAAGCATGAACTTCAACCAATAGGCTGACGTGACGCAAAATACATGAAACCTAAATTTAGCGCAAATTAACATATTTGGAACTTACAATTTGGTATGGAGTACTTCGCTGAAAATTGGATCACCGATAGCCTTGCTAGTTAATAAGTTGTATATA